ACCTATTTGGAAATTAAACAAACATATACAGGGTGTTTCAAAAACATGTTCCATCTCTCGTGGGGAAGTTCCTCACGTAAAATAAGATTTATTTTTTATATCAACCAATCCAATTCTGCTTTGATTCGTAGCTACAGGGGTTAAAATAGGGTTCCCAAACCGTCCTCTATTCCAGAAACACTCCTCTTTTGATCTGATTCATGGGCGCCGGAAGAATGAAGTTTAGGGGGCAAGGTAAAAATGAATAAAAAATTGAAGCACATTTTTTATTATTTTACAGGTAACACCTAAAAATTTCGGTAATTATTGGGAAAACTGGAAATCGTCCGATTTTCACCAAAATTGGTATACACACTATTTTGAGGTCGTAGATTACGAATCTGAACTTTTTTCTTGGCGGTCTCTTACCGTTTTTCAGAAAAACGGAAAATTATTTCAACATTGAATTTTTCTTTATTTCGGCCCTATAAAGTAATCATTTCACTATATTTCCGTTATATTATAGTTTATCTAAAAGCTGCACTTGATTGGGGATAGAAAAATGTCCAAAATTTTACTGAAAAACACTTTTCCTAACAAAATAACAAAGAAAATTGAGACCAGATGGAAGTTTGACATTTGATATATCCTTCTTTCTCTCTCCTATGTTATGAGAGAGACAAATATATTCTAAACCTAATCTAGAAATTTGAAAATTTACAACGTTGCCATATCTTCTATTTTTCGGGTGATTAGGGATTTTAAATAAATTTCCTATTATGAGATCGACAAATAATTAAATATACCTACCTACCTATATCCACAAAGTTACGCGGAAGAGTTTTAATTGCATTGGTTACAACTTTCATGCGGAGGGTGTTAATCTTTTGTTGTTATATTATATCAAAAAAGATTAACCCCCTCCAAGAAAAGAAAAGAAAGACTATTTATAATCACGAAGCTGCACGAAAGAGATTTGCTTGCATTGCTTACTTCTTCTTTGCGGAGGGGGTTAATCTTTTTGATATAATATAACAACAAAAGATTAACACCCTCCGCATGGAAGTTGTAAGCAATGCAATCAAATCTCTTTCGTGCAACTGTGGTGGTAAATAGTCAGTTCTCGTTGGTAAAATAGCAATTATGGGAAGGAGCCGTTCTTCTGGCGACCGCCTTTCGTAATCCCAGAATGAGCGAAAAAATCACCCTAAATTTAGGTTTAGCATTGGCAACGTTGCTTTAAATGCCAGAAACACATAACCCAACATTTTCAGATTGTTTACAAATTTATTTTAGCAAATTTTCCTCTATTATGCATTGAATTGGTTAAAAAAGTAACAGAAAATAGCAATAACATCATTGTTTATTGAATACCTAACAAAATATGTGCTAGAAAACCTTAAAAATATGAGAAATTAAGAAAAATTCGATGTTGAAATAATTTTCCGTTTTTCTGAAAAACGGTAAGAGACCGCCAAGTAAAAACTTCAGATTCGTAATCTACGACCTCAAAATAGGGTGTATAACAATTTTGGTGAAAATCTGACGATTTCCAGTTTTCCCAATAATTACCAAAATTTCATAATAATGATTATTTTTTTACAGATGGATGTAAAAAGATAGCTTTTATTTTTACTGTTTCAGTGATCCAGGGGGCAAATGCCCTCTTGCCCCCTGTCCGGCGCCCACGATCTGATTGTCCTCTTTTCTCTCACGTATTGAAAACTTTGTTACATACCAACTTCAAAATCTAAAAAATATTCGTTTATCGCCACAATGCTTTAAAGAATTGTTAATCTGTGTCTTTTATGTAATTTTATGTTTACTTACTGTTAGTTTATGTCTTGAAAAAAAGTTTGTTGACAATGGTTTGCTTTATTTTAATAAGTTTTGAGTATAAATATTTTTGTGTATTTTAAATATTTATCGCATACCGTTTATATAACTTTTTGGTAAATTCTCGACATTTGAGCGACGTTTCAAAAATGTTTCGCCTGTGCCTTTTTTTATCCTCTCGCCCCTATTTTTTATTTTCAAAGTTGCCAACCCTAGGTTAAGTGTTTTATCATTTTCTTCCAAGTGCTTTTAGTAATTTGAGATCGTTTGATGACTGATTTAGTTCTGATCCGGGTAGTTTTTTGTATAAAACAGTGCCACCATCGTCGATTTTTTTCGTTAAATGCGAATAAGAAAATATCCTGATTATATTCTGGCCCTATCCCTTATTATTTTTATTTACAAGCGATCTTAAGTTTATAACATATACATATATTTTATTTAATTGTTAACATTAGGGTAGTTTTACCAATTGTGTATGTGTGGAATTCCACTGATATGTGTTTTAAGTTGTTTGTTAAATTTTTAAAATTTTTTGATTGTATTTTGCTCTCTTAACTTTGTAGTGTCCTGAAGATGCAAATAAATTTTGCGAAACGTCGACAAATTTAAAACAAAGGACTTCTGTTGATTTTTTTCGATCCTAATCCAATTAAAAAACACATTATACTTAAATTTATTAATTAATTTTTTAAAATATTGAATGGTATCGAATAATACTTTAATATATTTATCAATATTTTAAAGTATCGATACTTTATATTCAATACAACCGATACCAAAATATCGATACTGCCTCAGTATCGCACAGCCCTATGAAGAATTTTGTGGGTTCGCCAAAGGCTCCACTGAAAATGGATAGCCGCGAGACAACGCCGTTCGACTGGGCAGGGACTCTGCTCGAGGCTAAATCGCTCGGCTCGAGGCTATAATATGACGAATTCCGCTTGAGGTTGACTCGCCTCGTCCTCGTCTCGGCATATTAGTACGCCTTTTGGAAAGAATTTGCTATAGCCTCGTTTCATACTCGTTTCGGGTTTGTCTCGTACTTGCCTCGGCATATTTATACGCGGCTTTAGATAAAAGAAAAATATATGGTATGTGTTCGTTGGTTAACTTTCGAATTGTTTGATTTTTTTCGTTTGCTTTAAAATCTATAAATTTCGGTCTATTCATTAGACAGTCAGTCGACTTACGATCATTTACATGAAACTCTGTAAAATAAATAAAAAAATAAATTGTAAAATATATATATTCTTATGTTTTATTAAAGTTACTCTGATATACTAATATATCAGTGTAACTTTAAAAATAAATCCTTTGAATTCAAATATAAACATAAAAAACATTTACAGCAGAAAAGGGGAAGGCGCTGGGTTAAACGTAGTCTCCACTAAAAACACGGAGGGGCGCTTTGACCCAAAATTTTACTATTAAGTTTCATATCTATCTTAATAGTAGATTATTTTCTTTTATCTATGGTTTTGACGTTGTTAGTCTTTTCACTAATGTGCCGGTAGATAAATCACTTAAAATAGTTAGGGATAGAAAAAGAAAGAGAAAACTTTCCGAAACGTTAAGCATTTTTTTCTTTGTTAGGCAAATTTTTATTACTGTAAACACAACTTCTGACAAGCAGCATCCGTTTAGGTTTAACGCAGAAGTGTTTACAAAAAATAACTATTTTATTTTGTAGATTTTTCTTGCAGTGCAGTGGCGAAATACCTATAAAGGATTTTTTTGGATAGATGAATCCGCCACATAGGTATAGACATTTTTTAGTATATACCTACACGCGCACTATTTCTGCCAGCCATTAAGAGATCTCCGACTCGGCGTTTCGATGATTCTGACAGTATTATTCTCTTGGCACGTTCCATTCTTGAAACATCATTTTCGTAACCCATTCAGAGATCCGTGACTCAGTCTCTTACCAGATTTTTAGGAACATTAAATACCTATCTCTGAATAACGTAGCTCCACCTGTTTTGGCGAGAGACTCTGCACGTTTGTTTCCCTCTAGGCCCACATGTCCTGGTATTCATATCAACGACAGATAGTTTCTTTCTCCCACTAAATGGAGTAATTTCTTACAGTGAAGAATCGTCAGGAATATGTATTTCGTTGTGCTTTCAGCGCGGGTTGATTTTCTGAAAATACGTTTATTGTTTTCCCAATGTATTGCCGTTCTACCAGCAAATGCGTACAAGTTTCAATATCATACAGCTCAGCTTGGAAAATTGGAGTATTTTCCAAGACTGTAGTAGAGCTCGGTTTTTAACATGCTGGGCCTGTTCCTTTATCACTTCTGGACCCGTCCGTATACCAACACATTTTCGCATGTTGTTTCCTTGTTTATCTCATTCGTCCTTATTCGGTAACAGGCTATTGAAAGTGCGTATCAAGAATGGGAATGGTTATATGAGACCATTCCCAGAACATGATAACCATCTGCCTGACCTAACCATCTGCCTGTTAATTCATTTGCTAGTCGATTATATACGTAGTTGTTTGTTTCTTGGCAATTGTAGTAGAAAAATTAAAAGAATGTATAATATTTTTTTTATATTCACCACTTTAAGTATATTTGTCTAGTACAGGGTGTCCCATTTTAGTTGAAATCATAGGGTATCTCCGTTGTAAAGATAGGAGGATGCGGTTTGCACAAACCTGACCTACCTTTTTGTCAAACGGAACGTTTCTGAGCTACAGGGTCTTTTCAAAAATTTTGCAATTTGGGACAGTCCCAGTATCTCCGTTATTGTGAAAGATATCGAGAAGGTAAAAACTGATTCTTGTAGAATTTTTGAAAATATGAACTGAAGTTATGATTTTTTAAATGTAACCTAACCTAACCTTCCATTTGACAAAAAAGTGGGAGAGGTTGGTGTAAACCGCACCCTTCTATCTTTAGTAATAACGGAGATACCGTACGATTTCAACCAAAATGGAACACCCTGTACAGCTTTCAAATAGTGTGGTTCGGATTCGGCGATAAACTGTACTGTATACAAGAACTAACTTTAGTCCTGTGTATTCGTGAACACTGATGACACCACACCATCACAAGTACATGCGAGAGGTCATCAACGTCCTTTGTAGAGCGAAGCACCAAATTGAGATAATATTTAAAGAAAAATCAACCAGCGATTGATTACTAATAATTTATTCTATTTAATTTTCAGTTCCTAGCTTTATTAATAAAAACGAGTGCACTCAGTGTACTGGAGGAAAGGGAGTACAGACAGCTTATGAAGCAGTATCTTAAAGACAAGGTAAATTCCTGTAGTTAAACTATTAATTAAAAAAATAAATGCGGTAGATGTTTTTGCTCAGATGAGAATCAGGGTGATCCAATGTTCTGAAAAATTTCCATTGTGCTAGTTCAACAGAAATTATTATTCTAAATAAGAAAATTGACGAAAAAACATTTATAGAGGATATAATAATACATTCCCAAGTAGCATTTTCACGACTTGCGACCACATGTTTACTAAACACAACGTTGGATTAGTTACAAAAAATAGTTAGCTCCCTACCTTGGGTATTAAAATAAATTTAAACGTTTTTATAACGTTGTGCCGACGTTGGACTAGTACTACAGCAAAGTAGAAGCTTCTGCAACGTCGAATAAACGTTGTCTTGTAACCTTTTTTACTTAAATGATCTTTAGGTGATTCGGACAACGTAGTTACAACGTTGAACAATATGAGTTTTCCGACGTCAGTTTCAGGACCTTTCCAACGTTATGCAAACGTCGTCTGTTTTACTAATTCCAACGTTGTTTAGATTTCCTTATTCTTACGTTGGTAGGACGTCGAGTCACTACCTTTTTGCAACTGTATTGAACCATAACCTTAAATCTTAAATTTTCACTTCATTGTTCTGTTCAGTCAGACAGTTCAGTGCTGTTTTTGTTTTTTAAAAACTTAATTAAAATGGGACATAAGAAAGGTACATATAAAACTAAATTTAAATATACATCGACATATATTACCGATGTTTATCCACTCCCTCGTTTATTTAGATTATAGAGGGCGGCACAAGCTAGACTCTAGGATGACTAAATTAGGCAATCTTGCGACTAGTATACTACCTGTTAAGGCCGAACTGCGACTTTATTAGTCCAGTAAGCGACTACTCGAACTACTCCATCTTAATCTCCAAAACAACAAAGTGAAAGCCGCCATGTTGTTAAATAAGAAAATGTTTCGTTCCTAAAATAGCAATTCCTGCTTTTTGAATACATTAACTTGAAATATTTGACCCTAAAAACACGCGGAAACAATTTTTCGACTGCGAATAAATTATTCTCATTTTACTAAAAAAAATTCAAGAAAATTTTTAAAATTCTCTTTAATTTTAAGGCCCATTAGTATTTTTCAAAGCAGAAACAATACATTTATCAATAAAGTTGTTTGCGTTTAACTTTTTTGCCTTGGGTAACGAGTTACAGAGTCGGTTAAAGTGTTTCAATAATTATGATCTTCAAACATCCTCCACACTTAAATACTTTTGTTTTGTTTTCCTTCACTGCCATCTGACATATGTCTCTAACTAAATCATAAAAATAATATTTTTACTATAATTATCCCAATTTAGGATAAAACGCGACTTAGACGCCATATTAGTTTTGTATTTCTGTGAATTAGGATTTTAAACAACGTTGCAGTTTGTCCTAAATTAGGCTTCTAGCCAACGTCGGTATCCAACGTCGTTTCGACCCAAAAATTATTCTCCAAACTAGTGCAGACTAGGGTTGCACTAGTTTGGAGAATAATTTTGGGCACTACGAGGTTGTGCCGACGTTGCGCCCCGACGTTTGGTTGCGTGACACAACGTTGTCCCGACGTCCAAATGCTGCTTGGGTTGTTTTATTAGGAGTAAAAATGACACTTTTTGTGGCGAGGCTGTGCGTTTGACATACAACCGAGGCACAAAAAGTCATTTTTATTCCGAATAGAACATATTGTTTTTTTCAAACGCCACAAATAAAAAAAAAATATCAAACGGTCCAAATAATACAAAAATATTTAAAAGTAATACCTTATTGGTAAGCTTTGAATAAGAAGACTAAGGAAGGAGCATAATGCTATCCATGTATTCATGCATGGTGGACGGAAAAAGGACTCTAGGGTGGGGATCCTTGACAGTTCTGTTTGACGATTCATTTGACACATTTGAATTTGATTTGTCAGTCTTTACGGAGCTTATTTTATGTTATTTATTATTTATTCTACTACTGATAGTTGTATAAAGGTAGTAAATCTAGATGGAAATTGTGACAGAACTTAAATTAACAGTGACACTATCGCGATTTATCGAAAAAGACTCTAAAATAGTTGGTTGTGTAGCGTGCGGTAGATCTCGGCAAAAATCGAGTGAAATAATGGAACAACTTTTCGCTAGTAAGTGACTATAAATATACATAATATGTGTACTAAACCGATCATTTATGAAATTCACTTAAATTAACTAATTATATATTTTTTCTTGCATTTTTGTTTTTATTTACTACTTGTCAAAGATTAGATGTCAAAGAATTTAGATACGTCAATTTGACTTACCTGCTTCAGTAGCGTATCAGATGTTTGTGTTAATAAATAATTATTAAAACTTATCTATTTTTATTATAATAATATGTTTTTATAACAATTTTAATAACTACCAACATTTATTCACAACGTAAAATAAAAAAAAAATATTAAGTCTACTACACGTCTACCCTACATCATAGTTTTACACTTTTTGAATAAAATTAGAACGGCACTGATAAACCGGAATTTAAGTCGGCCATGTTTGAGTCCCATCGCGGTGTATCTAAGATTTTTGATATGCTCCTTCCTTAGTCTTCTTATTCAAAGTTGGTAAGTAATTATATGTCGAGAAATTATGGTTACGCTCGTTGAATTTGACACTTGTCAGTTTAATAATATATTTTTTTATTTATTTTATGCTTAAGCTTCATCAAGCTTCTTTCAGAAGCCCGCAATTAGTGGAATAAAATAGTGGTTTCAATTACACTTTATAAATACCTTTTAGTTTACGATCACACACATTCACAATGTTTTATAAACACAATTAATATTAATTGAATATCCTAGCAACAGCTTGGGTTAGTCATTTGTATCAAAGAATATCTTAATACCTGTTGTATCCATAGAGAAAGCGTAATATTTAGCTTATCAAACAATAACTTTTGATTTCTAACCACAATTTCTCTTGACAGAAGATAATCAAAGGCCAAAGTGACATTTCTTGTAAACATTGAAGTATAATTAGTAGAAAAGTTAGAAGTTTGATAACTTTTTCTACTAATTAAAAATGTCTACCATTAATTTTGACGTTCTGAATGCTTACATTGAATTTAAAGGAACAAACTTCTACGCTAATTGAAACCACAATTTTATTCCACTAATTGCGAGGTTCTGAATGAATATTTAGTAAAAGTGCGTTACTTTTATGCCTAGGTGTTAAAATGACTTTTTTATTTTGTCAATACTTTTGTGACGTTTGAAAAAAAATATTTATCAAAAAAGAGACAAAAATACAATCACTAGTTTTGTCTCCTTTTAAAATTTATTTTAAACAAATTATTTTATGATAATTAGTTCTAAAAAAGACACTAATTATAAGATATCATCTTTTGGTATAATCAAAATAAAACACTAATTCAATCCAATACACCAGAACAATCTACTTTCAACACTGGATAGGCGTTTCGCTATTCATCATCAGAAAATTACCAAAACTAAGCTGGTATCTACAAATTAGGCCGGGTACGTCTCAAAAATGGCTAACCCCTATAACTTTTTTATTTGTTTCAAATAAAAAATCGAGATATGGTATATTAATATATGACATAAATTAGGATTGATTGAGTTATTCAGTTGTTTTCTGTCACTTACTGTTTCACCGGAAACGACTTCAAGTTTTAATTTTTAAATGATACCCTCGGTGTTTTGTTGCTTTATTCGATAGAAAATGACACTCTGTTGACATATCATATGTCAACTTTTGACATTTTCGAATATGGTTTATTTGAAACTACAACATGCCATTCATAAAGACAAATTGACTCGAAATAAAAAGTGTTAGGCCAATAGAAGAGCTTATTCAGATAAGCTCATCAATATAATATGCTCAGACAGTCAGGCGGCACTTGGGGCGCTTATGAGCCCAAAGGTATCGTCGAGACTCGTCTGGGAATGCCTAGGCGAACTGGAAGCTCTGGCTCGACGGAGCAGAGTTAAATTATTCTGGGTGCCGGGCCACAGCGGCATCCAAGGCAACGAAAAAGCCGATGAGCTAGCTAGGCAAGGATCATCGGCATCTTATCTTGGTCCAGAGCCAGTACTGGGAATACCCAAATGTATGGCCCGTAGTGCATTAAAACTCTGGATCAGGGAAAAGCAGAATGTCCACTGGAGAAACAGACAGGGGCACAGGCACAGCAAGGCTTTTATCCACGGACCTAGCTCCAAAACCGCAAAGGAACTGCTAATGCTTAGCAGGAATAAATTGCGGATTACAACAGGCCTCTTGACAGGACACATGGCTGTCAAGTGTTACCTGAACAAGCTCAATCTGTATCAAGGAAGTCTTTGCTGCAGACTCTGCGATAAAGATCCTGAAACAGCGGAGCACATAATATGTCACAGCGAGGCTCTGGATCGCAAGCGACACTTTTTATTTGGGAAAGCTAGGCTAGAACCGGAGGAACTATGCTCCCATCCTATCAAGGACCTGCATAAGTTAGTGCAGGGCACAGGGATAGGAGAATGGGTGCAGATATAGAAAGGGGACAAACACAATAGGCCTCACAGGTCGCAGTGTTTCCGGCAGACGACGGCCCCTTATTGTGGAAAAAAAAGTGTTAGGCCAATAAGCGAGGATAAAAATGGGGTATTACCTCTGAATTCTTGACACCCGCATCGATTGACGTGAAATTTTAATAGTGAATAGAGATATACCTATGTAAGAAACAAAAGTTACATAAAGTACCACCCCTTCTCGGGGGTGAAAAATCAATCACCCATTTTAATTACAAAAAACAATAGATGAATTATAAGCAAAAAATGTTCTACAACATTTTTTCAGGAAATTAATATTTTCCCAGTTATTTAGGATTGAAAATGTTGATTTTTCATCTAAAAACTGCATATTTTTCTGCATTTTTTTATAAATAACTCGAAAATCTTGCGTTTCATCGCAAAACTCATATAAAGCAAAAATGAAGCTTCGGAATGACGAATCAATTTATTTTTTGGTGTAGGTGTAGTAATAGCCGAGTTATCACTCTGTAATCATCGTTTCGAAAGCTATATTGCAACCTTTTACCGTAAAATAATGGCGAAAGAACACATTTTTCGAAGAAAATGAATATGACCTTAAGAACGGTCAGATTCATTTTCTTCGAAAAATGCTTGAAAAGACCTTTTTAATGTCTTTTTTTAAGGTATTTTTAAGTTCGCAGCTGAAAAACTCGCGGAGTTATAAAAAAATAAAATGGTCACCTCATTTTTTCGGAAAAAAATAACAACAAAATCTATGACTAAAATCATAAAAATAAAAACTATCAATTTGTAGGAAATTACACGAGCTACAAATTAACCTCTATAGTTGAACAGTCTTGAACTCTTCATTTTCACGAGATTTTTGGGTTTTAAGGGCTCAAAGGAGGTGGTCCTTACATGCAAGTCAAACTAAAAAAACGTAATATCTACGAAATAAAGAGATCTACAGAAAAATTGAAAGGGAGCAAAAATATTGCAAAAAAAGACTTTCAATTTTCCTCTCTTGCATTTTTTACGTATCTTGCTTAGTTTTTGAGATATGTCAAAAAAATAAAAATTTTTTAAAAAACAAAAAATAACTTTTTTCCAAATTTAGGCATTCCAAACCGCTCGAGCTTGCAGAGTCAATTTTAATACTTAAATATAATAGCCAGCTGTAGGTACATATATTACGCTTAGTTTTTATTTTTATGATTTTAGGCATAGATTTTGTTGTCAATTTTTTTCCGAAATAATGAGGTGACCATATTATGTTTATCACAAATCCGCGAGTTTTTGAGCTACGACCTTTTTTAAGAAAGCACTTAAAAGGTCTTTTCAAGGTCAAACGGTCATATTCATTTTCTTCGAAAAATGCGTTCTTTGGCCATTATTTTACGATAAATGGTTGCAATTTAGTTTTCGAAAAATAAAAAATCACGTTTACAGAATGATAACTCGGCTATTATAACACCTACGGTAATCAGCAAAAAAATGAATCGTTTAATTATTCCAAAAGCTTCATTTTTGCTTTATATGAGTTTTGCGATAAAACGCCAGGTTTTCGAGTTATTTATAAATATTGGCAAAAAAATATGCAATTTTCATATGAAAAATCAACATTTTCAATTCTAAATAACTACGAAAATATTAATTTTCTGAAAAAATGTTATAGGACATTTTTTGCTTAGAATTCATCCCTTTATTGATATTTGTAATTATAATGGGTGTGTGACAAAACTTTCAAGATTTTGTCCGTTATCATGGTAGTGTGGCCTTTATATTATTATTATAATTAAAATAATTTATTGAGCGGTAGGCAGAACTTGAATTAATGAGAGCACCGTCTTTTCAGAACGCAAATATAGATTATCGTTTACATATAGAAACAAAATATAACTAACCAGCTAAAAATAGAAGTTATAAGGTATCGCACTTTTATGGTAAGGGCTCTTTCTAAATTCAGTTACTATAAACTCTATTGCCACTTACCTTATTACGTCAACATCCGTCAGCAATACATCAACAACAAGAACCTGTCGAAGACTTTATTGATAGAGAACTTACTAAAACAATTAAAAAGACCACTGGATAATATAACATCTACACGGAGTAAATTCGCCCGTTTAATTTAAAAGTCAGTACCGAACTAATTAAAGATGAAAATACTGATGCTGGTACTATCTCGGAAAGGCGTTACTACATCTTCGGCACGCCCCTGTTTGAGGAACCTTCGAATACCCATCCAAATGCATATTTTGCACCTTTTTAATTGGCCGAAGGGTTCCTTCCCCGAAAGATCCCTAGACTTCTTTCACCCTTGTTTCTGGTTTTTATCCCGAGAGGGCATCAGCATGTCCTATTTATTAATTAAATTTAATTTTTAAACCCTTCCGTGTAAATCTTACACTTTTACCAATTTGCTGGATAATATTCATAATCTAAGCCTTAACTAATACAAATGATATCGTGCCATAGGATTACCTTAGAAAAAAAAACCGCCTAGAAATTAACTCTTTATTTCTTCACATTTTTGTCTATTTCTATTTAATTCTAGGAACGGAAAAAAAGATAATCCTATTTCTATCATTTCCAGACATTCATCTCGTGAACATTTGGATTCTGATTTTAAAACATATATTTAATACTTTGATGCCCACTTGCACCGTTTGTATAAACTTTGTTTAAAGGCTAAACAGTGATTAACTATAATAAAATATGTATAGTTAATCACTGTTTAGCCTTTAAACAAAGTTTATACAAACGGTGCAAGTGGGCATTAATTTTCAATGTAAAACCTCTAACGAGGGGATGATTTAATTTTACTTCTATTCACGGTTAAAAGTCCACGTCCTTCACAATCCTCGCTTACTGGCCTATGTGTGGTATCAAATTATTCTTAAAAAAATGCTTTTTCCAAATATTGTAGTGAGCAACCCTCGTTCCATTTGAAAAAATTGAGATATGATTAAAAATACGATTTTTGGCATCTTTTAACCGGCCAGAACAAGACACGAATAATATTAGACGATCAAATCTATTTTTCCAAGGTCCCTTGATTAAAAATTAGTGTTTTTAACACAGCTATGGCACTCTAGATTGAAATTTGATATTCAATTTTGTTTTAGGCAAAAATATCAAAAGTTGACATATAATATGTCATTCTATTTAGAATGTCATTTTCTATTGAATAAAGTAAAAAAATACCGATGGTGCCATTTAAAAGTCAAAAGTTGTAGTCATTTCCTGTGAAACAGGAAGTGACAGAAAACAATTTAATACGTGAAACAATCCTAATTTATGTCATATAAAAAAGTTATAGGGGTGAGCCACTTTTTAAACGCAGCCATAAGGTACTTGGTTAGCACTGACCAAGCCTGACATAATTAGCCAAGTGAGTCAAAATCAATCAAGCGTGACAATTAATTACAGTTATTTACAATTAATTGAGAGTAGAGCAATAGGGGGAACAGAGAGCTGGAAGGAATTAGACCAGTATATCTGTTCACTATTATCTTTAGACTTATGTATTGTGCCGCTCTCATATGTAACCAATTGCCTATAATTTGAGACATGTTTGATTAATTTTAAACTATTAACATCTATACAATGATCTTTATCAGAAATATGTTGAGCATCGCGAGATTTACCTGCTCTACCGTATCTTATCGGGGCATCAGTATATTCTTTAAATCTGATTTATAAATTTTTATGCAAAAATTTTAATCAAAAATATGTTAGGCATACAAGATCAATATTAACTAGAGACTAAAGAACAAATCTACTATTTCTATTCTTTCACGTTTTCCCATACTTTAAAAATAAAAGTACGGAAAAGGCAAATTGAATAAAAAGTTGTAAACCAAATCGAAACAAACAAAGCACTTTATTGCAAAATACTTACTTTGACTTTTTATTCTTTCTTGTTTTAGGTGGCGAACAAGAAAACTCCAATGCCTAAAAAACCAGTTCCAGGTGAACCTAGACCATCTACTACAGAAGAAAGTAATATCTATGTATTAACATTTTATATTTTTATATGATTGCGTATTCAATTGTTTTCGGTCACTTTCTGTTTCACCGGAAATGACTACAACTTTTGATTTTTAAATAGCACCCTCGGTATTTTTTTACTTTATTCGATAGAAAATGACACTCCGAATAGAATGACATATCATATGTCAACTTTTGACATTTTGCATGTGGTTTATTTGAAATTATAACATGCAGTTCATAACAACAAGTTGACTCGAAACACCAAGTGTGTGGTACCAAATTATTCGTACATAATTTTTTTTCCAAATATGTTAATGAGCCACCCTCGTTTTATTTGAAAAATTTGAGATATGATTAAAAATACGATTTGAGCATTTTCTAACTGGCCCCAGGACAAGATACTAAAAGCATTAGACGATCAAATCTATTTTTTCAAGACTCCTTGATTAAAAATTAATGTTTTTAACACAGCAAAATAAAAACACTAAATCACCACAATACACCAAAACAGTTTTACTTATACACTGGACACGCGTTTCGCTAACCATGTTAGCATCATCAGCAGATGATTGTTGAGTTTATAATCATCTGCTGATGATGCTAACATGGTTAGCGAAACGCGTGTCCAGTGTAAAAGTAAAAGTGTTTTGGTATATTGCGGTGATTTAGTGTTTTTATTTTGCTGTGTAACACCAAAGGTTCCAACCCTCAACTGTAATAGTTTTTAACACACTCATGGCACTCTAAATTGAAAATTAAAATACAATTTTTTTAAACAAGAATGTCAAAAGTTGACATATCATATTATGTCATTCTATTCAGAGTGCTATTTTCTATCGAATAAAGTAAACAAATACCAATGGTGCCATTTAAAAATCAGAAGTTGTAGTAATTTCCGGTGAAACAGGAAGTGACCCAAAACAATTAAATACGTCAATCAATCTTAATTTATGTCATATAAAAAAGTTATAGGGGTGAGCCACTATACCACACACACACATACCAAATCTCAATTTTTTATGTGATAAAATAAAAAAGCTCTAAGGATGAGCCACTTTTCAGATGCACCCGGTATAAAACATATTTGGTACACAATAGGGTATTCTATTTTAGGCGAACATGTGAAAGGTAAAATTATGACTTATCTGCTGCTATTATGGGCCTTTTTTGAAGGCGTGATTGTTTCATTGACATCGCTGTTCAACTGGGGTACTCCACTTTTCAGGCAAATCCGTTCAGAAATCAGTAGCGAGAAGAACATGTTAAAAGTAAGAGTGTATAAGAGGTTGATAATCGTATTATAAAAATAGAAAATAAGTACTTATATCTACACACATGGCCAAAATTATTGCATATAACGATATTTTTATTTTATTTTGGACCTAATATGATTCTTTTTATATTTTTGGACATATTGGCTTACTACACGACTAACTAATATAAAATTAAAAATCTAAGTGCAACTAGGCTGTTATTATAATTTTATTTCATAATGAACGAGAAATTGTAAACAGACTCTGTAATTTCGACTCTGTAAACAGAGATGCACTTTGGGCAATTATCCAAAAGTTCGGAGTGCCCAACCAATTTCTTGTGTGTAAATACAGGGTGTAAACTGTGTGTAAAAGCCTCCATAACAACATGTCGAGAGTGTCACATCATGGATCACTGATTGATCCCTTCCTGACAAATATAGGAGTTAGGCAGAGATGTGTCCTGGCTCCTCTCCTATTCAACATATTCATGGCAGCGCTCTCTATTATAGTGGACAGCAAACTGCAGGAAAGAGGAATGGGTATTAGATACCCATATAGAGATACAGGTATGACGGCGGTATGTTCAACATAAAAAGACTCAGGGCAAAACCACGTATAAAATTCATCACAGAACTCCAATACGCTGATGACTGCGCTCTAGTTGCAAATACGTTACAGCAATTATTACAGGAAATGCTGAGCACATATACCTGGGCATACGAGACTTTCAAATCAAATCAAATCAAATCAAATCTTTTTATTAGGCCCCAATATAAAAAATATACAAAATACAAACCATACTTTGGCTGACTAATAGCCATACTTTGGGCCTTAAACTGAACATCAATAAAACTAAAATCATGTGCACTCCCCCGGAAAATCATAACAGCGCTATAAAAATAAGAGAAGAACTATTGGAATATGTATCGAAATTTAATTACCTCGGCAGTTTGATTTCGGAAAAGGCAAATATCAACTCTGAAATTCAGCACAGAATCAGCAGCACCTCAAGAGCATTCTGGAACTTAAAAGACAGGGTTTTCTACAATCACGACTTGAGCACAAAAACAAAACTTGCAGTGTATCGAGCAGTAACAATCCCCACCATGTTATATGAAAGCGAAACCTGGGTGCCGTACCGCAGGCACACGAGCGCATTAAACAAGTTGCAACAGACACCTTAGCCAACTGTTAAAAATTAGAGACACCTTAGACAACTGTTAACAATAAAATGGTACCGCCATGTCTCAAACATATCAGCCCTTGAAAAAGCAAGCTGTGAAAGCGCTGAAGTCATGATTACTAAATCTCGCTTAAGATGGGCTGACCACGTATGCAGGATGCAAGAAAACCACCTACCGAAATCTCTTCTTTACGGTGAACTTGTAGAGGGTAAGAGGAAACCGGGTGGACAACTCAAAAGACACAAGGATGTTTTTCATGAAAACTTAAAGGGGATAAGTATGCAGCATAAGTGGGAGGAAGCAGCGCATAATAGAACGCAATGGAGGAGTATTGTAAATGCAATTAATAGCGACAACCAAAAAGTAAAGAGGCAACAAAGTAATGAGATTTTTGAATGTCCGGAATGCGGAAGAGACATAACATCACGTATCGAGCTTTTCAGTCACAGAAAAGGTCATGACAGGAAACGCCTTGCGTAACCATCTTCTGATGCGTGTCAAATACTCGTCAGCGGGTAATGGCCGTAAGTAAGTAAATAAGTAAGTAAGTAATTTCATAATGAGTGAAAATCAACAAAAACAAATTTCATTTTAAACAGAACATATTGAAAACAATTTTAATTATTTCTCACAACTAATAGTCTGTTGCCTCCTCGAGCCTCAATGCAAGCTGTGAGACGACGTGGCATGCTCTCAATTAAGTTGTCCAGAAGATGTTGAGGAATGGCTTCCCATGTTTCGCGCGCAGCAATTTTCACTTCATTTAAGGTACGGGGGATCATTCTTTTTGGCAATATGGCATTTTAACATGCCCCAAGCATGCTCGATCACATTCATATCTGGAGACATCGGTGGCCACCACAGTTTTCTTATACCCTCTTCCTCACAAAATTCGCAAACCGCGAACCGCTAAAGTGCGATGGGGAGGAGCATTATCGTCCATGTAAAGAAATTCATCCCCCACTGCCCCTCGAAATGGACGCACAATAGGCTCTAAAACGTCTCTAAGATATGACGCACCTGTCATTGTGCCATCAATAAAAACAAGAGGAGTTCGAGCTCCGTGCATTATACCTGTCCATACCATAATGCTTCCCCCTTGAAACGGGACACGGGGTTGAGCTGCATTCAAGCGTGCTCGTCTTCCAGATGCTCTCTAGACCAAAGTTCGTCGCCAGTCTGACACTAGGCCTATTCCTGTTTCATCACTAAACATGACGAAATTCCAATTAGGTCCATTTGCTCTCATCTCCTCAGCCCATTGTAGTCGCGTAATTTTGTAATAAAGTAATTAAGCTTCGGAACACGTAGAGGCCTCCTTAAATATAATCCTCTGCCATGGAGTCTTCTTGCTATTACCTTTCTTGAAACATTTACTCCTTCAAGGCGAGCTAACTCATTTTTAATAGCAGTACTAGAAAGCAGAGGATTGCGTCGTGCAATTAAGGATATTTGACGGTCTTGCACAGCAATAGTAACTTTCTTTCTACTTGTTCCAGGCCGGTCTGTAACCTCGTTTATCTCCCGAATTTTTTTTAATATTCGCGAAATATCGCTTTGGTTAACTCCTACAATTTTAGCAATTGCAACTTGCCGATAGCCCTGTTGAGACAGTGTTACTATTCTGACTCTATTAAGCTGTGAAATAATGTTTCTAGGCATTTATTTTCGCAACCAAAACAATGGTCAAATTTCTTTTGAAACTCAAGAGACCACAAATCGAAATGTGCAAGAATTTGTAATAATATTGGGTCTGAACGATAAAAATTGTTTACCATATACATTTTAACAAAAAAAATGTTTATTACAGATTGATAATCTATGTATAAAAAAGATTGTTTAAATTCCTATCCGTATATTTTTAAACGAGATATGCAATAATTTTGGCTATGTGTGTATGTGGCCAAATTCGAGCTTCACCACGGAGACCCCAGAAACTAGAATAATACGAGGTCACTTAAATAGATTAAAAAAATTAAAAAAGATAGATTTTATAGATTATATTTAATAGATTAAAAAAATTAGAAAATTAAAAAAAAATTGTGTGCGCATTATGTGCGCATATTTGAAGTGAAACTTCGGCAACATATTCTGCAGATAAAAATAAGTAAAAAAGTTTGTATAAATGTATGTCCCTCGGTATGTCCTAAAAAGCTTCCCAAGTAGCATTTTCACGACTTGCGACCACATGTTTACTAAACACAACGTTGGATTAGTTACAAAAAATAGTTAGCTCCCTACCTTGGGTATTAAAATAAATTTAAACGTTTTTATAACGTTGTGCCGACGTTGGACTAGTACTACAGCAAAGTAGAAGCTTCTGCGACGTCGAATAAACGTTGTCTTGTAACCTTTTTGCTGAAGTGATTTTTAGGTGATTCGGACAACGTAGTTACAACGTTGGACAATATAGGATTTTCCGACGTCAGTTTCAGGACCTATTCCAACGTTATGCAAACGTCGTCTGTTTTACTAATTCCAACGTTGTTTAGATTTCCTTATTCTTACGTTGGTAGGACGTCGAGTCGCTACCTTTTTGCAACTGTATTAAACCATAACCTTAAATCTTAAATTTTCACTTCAGTCAGACAGTTCAGTGCTGTTTTTGTTTTTATAAAAAAAACTTAATTAAAATGGGACATAAGAAAGGTACATATAAAATTAAATTTAAATATACATCGACATATATTACCGATAGTTTATCCACTCCCTCGTTTACTTAGATTATAGAGGGCGGCACAAGCTAGACTCTAGGATGACTAAATTAGGCAATCTTGCGACTAGTATACTACCTGTTAAGGCCGAACTGCGACTTTATTAGTCCAGTATGCGACTACTCGAACTACTCCATCTTAATCTCCAAAACAACAAAGTGAAAGCCGCCATGTTGTTAAATAAGAAAATGTTTCGTTCCTAAAATAGCAATTCCTGCTTTTTGAATACATTAACTTGAAATATTTGACCCTAAAAAACACGCGGAAACAATTTTTTCGACTGCGAATAAATTTTTCTCATTTTACTAAAAAAAAAGAAATCCAAGAAAGTTTTTAAAACTTCTTTAATTTGAAGGCCCATTAGTATTTTTCAAAGTAGAAACAATACATTTATCAATAAAGTTGTTTGCGTTTAACTAGTTTGCCTTGGGTAACGAGTTACAGAGTCGGTTAAAGTGTTTCAATAATTATGATCTTCAAACATCCTCCACACTTAAATACTTTTGTTTTGTTTTCCTTCACTGCCATCTGACATATGTCTCTAACTAAATCATAAAAATAATATTTTTACTATAATTATCCCAATTTAAGATAAAACGCGACTTAGTTTGTTGCCATATTAGTTTTGTATTTCTGTGAATTAGGATTTTTAACAACGTTGCAGTTTGTACTAAAATAGGCTTCTAGCCAACGTCGGTATCCAACGTCGTATAGATTAAAAAAATTAGAAAATTAAAAAAAAATTGTGTGCGCATTATGTGCGCATATTTGAAGTGAAACTTCGGCAACATATTCTGCAGATAAAAATAAGTAAAAAAGTTTGTATAAATGTATGTCCCTCGGTATGTCCTAAAAAGCTTAGTTTCCGAGATACTTTCATTTTTATTTCGATTTTTTCAAATTCATTTTTGAACTATATAACGTCAATATTTGGATGAAAATTGATCTCTGGGTTTTTTTTGGCATAAGAAATTTTATTTTGATGTCATTGTGACTCCTACTTGTAGAGGGCGCCACCTAGATATTTTTAACTGGTTTGAAGACTAATAACTTTCCGTCCGTCCCTGTATAAATTTACTGAGTAAATAAAGTCATGGAGATGTATATTTTTTCACTCAGTAGTTTTATACAGGTACGGACGAAAAGTTATTACTCTTCAAAACAGTTAAAACACATGTAGGTGGCGGCCCCTACAAATAGGAGTCATATTGACATCAAAATCAAATTTCTCATGCCAAAAAACTCCCAGATACCAATTCTCATCCAAATATTGACGTTACTTCAGAAATTATATGAAAAAAATCAAAATAAAAATGAAACTGCTCCACCCTGTATCTTCGAGACTAAGCATTTTAGGACATATATTTGTACGAAATTTTTTACTTATTTTTATCTGCAAAATATGCTGCCGAAGTTTCCGGAATACAGTTCGGACCACCCTGTATATTTTTTTAATTGTCAAACTTAAATAACTCGGTTATTTCGGAGTTCAAAACTTTACTTACTTTTCGGACTACAACTGCAAAGAGAAAATATGTTTTATCGAGATCTACCAGCCCTGAAAATATTTGCACTTATTTAAGGTTTATCTTGTATTATTACCATACTTTGACTAACAATAAATACACCATTTGGAGTATATGTATATAAAAGTATGTTATTTATTTCTTAGAAAAATCCGTATAATCTTGTCGGAGAAAGGCTAGGCAGAAGTAAAATATGGTCGCCGACTAAAACATTAGAGACCATCGAACAGGAAAAGTAAGAAGAAAGACTATTTATTTTGTGCCATAATACAATCATTGTGTCCCACTAATTGCAAGCAAAAAATATTCTTATTAATTATAATTTAAATTTCTATTAATTTGATACAACGTCATATACAATAACTGTATAATGTCTCCATTTTTGACGGCACATGTAAAATTAGAAAAATTATAAAAAATATAACAAATTTTAGTTTTAGTCCTAAGAAACCTAATATACCCCAGTATGATGTTGGGGTTCGGCTGTCGGAGGATGAATTTCTTAAGCGGTAAGTAAATTAAAAAGAGAAAAAAACATACTGAAAAGTTGAAATGATCAAGCAAAAAATGTGTAATACTATTTTATTTTGATATGAATTTAATTTTCGTTAAAATATCTTGTAGCGTTTTTTTATAAACATTACCACTGCGAACGGCAGCTTTTCATCGGAGAGCAGTCGTGGATAAGGTATTTCACTGGAAAGAAAACTAATTAATAACAATAAACAAAAAAAATAGATATTGGGCGCCAAGCATGTACAGAGAAAGAAAACACAGTTGTATATTACTTAAAACTAATGACTATATTTATTCAAGATGGACTGTAATGGTAAATAGCATTGTACAATTTTAATAATTATTATAGGTGGTTATATGTCAAAAAAAATGGTGTTAAGAGTTATACTAAATATCTATGGAAGTAATACCATTACAAGACGTAATCTAATGAAACCTAAGATCTAAATCATATTTTAAATATTAAATCGACATGAATGTTCTTAACAATCTAACCACTAAACATAGTCTGTACGATATTACTTAAGATGTACGTTATTGTTTAAGACTGAAAATGTTTTAGATGTTAAATATAAAACTAGAACTTAAATCTACACTTAGCTGTTCTTTATGTAATCTTGCTTCAAACAGTAACAGCGTGAGGTGCTCTCTTGGATAATGTCCGTAACTTGAACCATAACCTTGGACACAGTCCGTCCATAAGACAACGGTACAGGGGAACACTACCCGTACCTTGGATACTACTAGGACCTTGGATAATGCCCGTATCTTGTAAATAGTCCGTACCTTGGACCCTAAAACTCTTGTTTAAAACCAAACAAGGTCTAATAAACAAAATAAACCTACCTCGAATTACTTCCGAGGGCTCAATAATAAACAAAGAAACTGTCCTTTCTTCCATGTAACATTGAACATGACAAAAGAAAAGGGACGCCAACGTGCCAGCAAAATACAAATACAAGTTAAGTTGGGACATCCAAAACTCTACCCTAAAAATATGCAGTAATAATATCGAATCTAAAAGGATAATATCTCATCTTTACCTGTTGCTTTGAAATAGCAGCTGATTCAAATTATACAGCAAGATTTAAATAATCACCATTTCTAAAAGCCGGGATGGTTAGGTTAGGGTACGAACATAGTGGAGGCAGGTTTCTGCTTTCCGGCAACCAGCGCCGTCTCTGGGGACCTATTCTTGACCACTCGCATCTTCAAATATCGCTCGCATCTCGCATCTCCTAAAAAGCCATATAACAATACACAGATGCGTAACTGCGTATATGCATCACGTGTATTGTATATGGCTATTTCGGAGAGGCGAGAAGGATTCGGAAGTAGATAATTAACAGGAAATTTACCTGATTAACTAACCTAACCTAATCAAACCATATTCAAACGCCGCGCCCGCCTCGCCGCCCGAGGCCGCACATAGGTGTATTTGGTCTATAAACCTGGCCAAAAGTGATATTTTTTTATTTTCATTTTTTATCTTAACTGAACACAAATCTATAAATACTAAATGCAAGCACGTTTATTAGTTATTAGCTTTTTTAAGTCGTAAGTTGACTATCAAATAAATAATATATTTCAGTTAAAAGTATGAATTATCTTGAGTGTATTCTGAATATTTCTAAGATTATAAAAATAATTGGAATTGTTTGTAGTGCTTTTTTTGCAAATTGTTCATAATAACTGTCATGATGGATACAGAGCCAGCTTTGTTTGTTGGCTCTGTTCTGTTTTATGCCATATTTTTATTTTGAAACGTTTCCTTCTATTCTATTTTTTTATAATGTTTTATATTTAAAAAATTAGTGGCATTTTTATAAGGTGTAAGACTATTCGGCAATATTCCGCATGGAAATTAGTATCCGTTCAATGCTTAAAGTCTCCAGCATTGGAATATGCACAAAAATCTTGCCAATATTTGCCACTGCAAAAAAAACATTGATTTAAATAGATTCTTAAAGGAAATAGTCTTTACCCTATTAACACCCATTCTCGCTCAAATATCGTCTATAATATACAAATTACTTTCTTGTTCTAGCATCCTCATCCAATTGCTTGGTTTTGCACAGAATGGGCCCTATTTGATCGGTGGAAAGGGTTTCAGAGTAGAGGAAAAAATATTGTGTAGGAAAAACAAAATGAGGTTCCATATTAGCAACCTCTCCTCTAATTAATAATTAATATTACTAGCAAAAAAGCACAAAAATCATAAAACATAATTTTGGCCAACTTTTAGTTCTTAATACCCCCTGTGCGCCGTCGGCGCGTGCAAAAGTAGAAATAAATAAATTTTCGTTCCGGTAAAAGCGAGAACGCCGATGAATGCTGGTTGACGGTGCCTGCCTGCTTTCACTGTGAACTAGCCGATTTGATAACACGCTTTAATTTTTCAAGGTTATAAGCGCGAGGCGGAGTGGCGCGGCGCTACTATGTAATCATATACAGGGTGTCCCAGAAATAAGTGCAAGTATTTTAACTTAACTGGTAGTATAGTTCAACCCCAGAAACACGCCTATGAGGTTTTTTTCTAAATAATTTTTTTTAAAAATTCGGAATTTTTTGAAAATATTTTTGGAATTTTTTTGCAATTTTTTTAATTTATTTTTTAGTTTTTATTTAAAAAGAAATAGTTTCTTGATAATATGGCAACATAGGTAGTAGATTAAATTTACAGTGTTCTCAAACAAATCTCGAAGTATTGGAAGGAATGTGTAAGGACTAAGAACTATTGTCTACAATAAAACGACGGAAAGCAGCATATTTTGGTCATATTTTTCGAAATAACAAATATAGTTTCCTATAGCTGATCGTTGAGGGAAAGATTGAAGGACGACGAGGCATCGGGCGTAAACGGTTTTCCTGGTTGCGGAATTTGCGCCAGTGGTTTAATATAGGAGAGGCCAGTGCAATTATCCGTTTGGCTCAAGACAGGGAGGAATTCCAATTGATGGTCGCCAACCTCCGATGAGGAGAAGTCACATGAAGAAGAAGATTCTCAAAATTTTAGCAAAAAATATATTTTTTTTGGAAATTTTCAAAGTAAAATAACTCCATTATTTTGGACTTATTTGAAAAACGATAAAGAGAAAATATGTGTCTTTTATCGAGATCTACCACCCTTTAAAATACTTGCACTTATTTCTGGGATACCCTGTTTATAAAAATACACGTGATGCGTATACGCAAAGTTGCGAACGATGTCAAGAATAGGTGCCCAGATTGGCGCTGACTACCAGTAAGCGGCAAACCTGCTTGCACTGTGTTCGCACACTTAGGCTACAGAGCGGTAAAAGCAAAAGTGAGAGAGTTGACAGAAGCGATGTTGACATCGCCTCCACAGAGCGATAACAGGGTTGTGTCAACGATAACAGGGTTGTGGACTAGAGAACGTATAAATTACGCCATGCCGTCAAGTAAATTATCCGGCCTGAACGATAGGGAATCCGGTGATGATACGCCAGACATCATATATCATATACAAAGACATGTAACGAACTAAAAAGGTTACAATCTTTAATAGTACAACAAATTGAATTAGAACCACTCTTTATAACCTATTTGGTTTAAAACTTCAATATACCATAATATAAATAGATAACCATACCCATTTTATAAAACGAAGTATACCCAAAATATACAAACCAGATATACCGTATGTCCCCCGATTTGTCTTTACAAGAGGAAAACCTTTTTTATTATTGGCATTTTGAGAAAAATGCATTCTTCATAAAAATTTTAGCTTGTTCTCAAATGGTTAATCTCTTTTTTTCCCGAATTTCCATACCGTTTTAGAGAAAATAAAAAAAATATCAAAATCCTAAAATCAAAAGGCGTTTCTATGGTAATATTAGTTCGATTTCATTATTAGATAGATATGGTTCTTATTAAAAAGAAGTATAAAAAAGACCCAAAGTCAAACACCAACAGTGTTGTTTTAATATGTAAAATATGAACGTGCCTGTGGATTGGCTTTTATTGTATTTGTCTGATGATGCTCGTATGAGCGAAACACGTGTCACTGTTTAACATTATATAAACGTTGAGACCGAGACTTTGAGTCTTTTTTATACTTCATTTTAATTTAAACCAGGTCTCTTTGAGAAGAATGGACGACTTCTTTAAATTTTACGGTTCTTATTAGTTTTGATTAACGTCATATTCTTTGCTATTGTAAAACAGCAATGAATATGAAGTCCAAAGAATATACCTAGCTAGAAAAAGAATGGACTCTGCCATAATGAAAAATGGTCCTACATAAGTGACACCATCTATTGAGTAGGGCTTGTTTTAGATGGATCGAAGCACGGGCTTTTTAAATGAGCGTATTTATTGAATTTTACTCTAAAATATATAATTAAATTTGATTATTAAATCTTATTTTTTACACAAATTCAACAATACTAATAAGTATCGTTGTGATGTGTAAAAAATAAGATTTAACAGTATAATTTATACAATTATTAAATAAAATTAAAGCCAAACATGTGAAATATTATTTATTATTTAAAGTTTTTATTTATAAGTCAAATATTTAAACATCGATTATTATAATAAAACAAGACCAACGTAATACACCCAAAGTTTTGTAAATGGAGTAAATATAAATAGGTACTTAAATGATGGCAAATAGTCCGTTTCAATGATGGCAAAAATAAAAGACTTACATTATATTTTTAGGGCCACAAACAATAGGAATTGTCTAATTAAAACACATATAACAAATTATAGTTTGAAAAACGTTTTGATAATCGTTTGATAATATTAAGGAGTTTTCGTTGCTTACAAATTGCAATTCCGGTTAACGCTAATTGACAACTTTGACATTTCAATTTCGATTATCGTATATCGTAACCGCTAACTGCCGATATTTTACGGACGTTAGCCAAAGCCGTTAACATAGCGGTACGCATGCGCACTAGCGCAGTAGAACACAACATTGAAAAATACAGATCTAACCTAACCTCGTTCTATTTTGTTTATGTTTTGATTACTTATTTTATCTGTGTTAAACTCGTTGGGAATTTTTAGTTCTTCAACTAATCGAGGAATGTCTTTTTTTTTCAAAGCGGAAATTAGCTTTGCACTCTTGGTCAGATAATATTTCTAGGTTAAACTCTGCTCGATATTCGATGTTGTTTTCAAATCCTTCCAACAACATAGCATCCTCCAAATCCGATTCATCACTAGAGTCCAATAAAATTAAATTGTCCATCCTATATAGCGATACCCAATAAAGTCATATAAAGCACTTTCAAATCAAAAAACAATACAAAAATCAAAACACTACGCTACGGGCTGTGCTCTCAGTCAGCTCTCAGTTTTCGGTTATCGTATCGTATGTCGGCTCCGAACCGATGAACCGAAAGTCCGAAAACTGTTTTTTTATCTGTCAAAATAGCGGTTATGGTTACGTATCCGTTAACCGTACCGTTGAATTCTTTTAAAGCAACGAAAACTCCCTATTATGATTGGCGCTATGACAACGACAATATTTTTTGAGAATTTGACAATAGTACGACAATGGCCGTTGGAAACTATGGAAACTACAAAAAAATTCTGATTTAACGCCATCTGGCAATAACGAGTAGCAACTTCTTAACCTAAAAATTAATTGCACTACCACCTAGCGCCTGAGGCTGGAACTATTTTATTTGAAATTTCCATGGAAACGGTAGAACCGCTTTTGCTATTTCACTTTCCCGCGCCTGATGAAGTCCTAAAAATCAAAAGGCGTTTCTATGGTAATATTATTCCGATTTCATTCTTTGATAGAGCATATTGACAGAATTTTAATTAACGTCATATTTTTTGCTGTTTTAAAATGTTAAAGAAACAAAAAATTTATTTAGTTCAGTGTTCACGGAAAGGGTGATGACGTTAATCAAAACTAATAAGAACCATCTCTTAAAACAGAGTATAAAGCGTAGTTTACACGGGATAGAAAATTGCGATAGAACTTGCTAGAGTAACTTGCGATAGTGTTTACATTTAAGCAAATTTTATAGCAATTTCTTGCAACAAGTACTTTCTAGGCATATGCTTTGAGCAAGAAATTGCATGCACGTATACACGGTATGGTGTATATTGCACAAGTATATTGTTTAGTAGAAAAATGTCGCGCCGTAAAAAGAGAGCTGCAGCCACTGCTCTTCTTGTTGCAATTTTACGCAAACAGTCAAGAAAATCTAGAAAAGGAATATGGGTTAAAGAATGGATTGCCAGAAGGCCTAGTCTTAGAGTTTACGCGATGTTATTAAAAAAAATGAGAAATGAAGACCCAAAGATTTGTCAGCTATAAATTTGATTGCTTTTTGCTTTTTAGCTCTATCTCTGTAAATTTTCGATTTTTCGATTCGATTTTTTTTTGCCACAATTCCGGAAATCCTTCAAATAAATTAATCAAAGTTATGGTATCTTCTTCACATACTCCATTTTAATATCGTTATTTAACACGCCTTCGAAAATCACTTGCACCAAAAGCTTTCAACAAGACGGAAATAAATTTTAACTTGCCAGAGCTCTCCAAACCTATTTACACTTGCAAGCGTTTTTCGTCGCAATCACTTCCCCGCCAGTTTTGTGACTTGCTGGGAGAGTGCTTTCGGATACTGTTTACATTATGCAAGTTTGGTAGAAGTGCTCTCAGACATACACTTGCGATAATTTACTTGCCCGTATAAACTACGCTTAACATTCACTAGTAAAAGTTTGTTTCAAAATTATTTATTAAACTTTCACTGGTGTAGTGTTAGTAAATCAGTGAATGTGATATTTTACTATATTTCATATCAATTAAACTTTTAGATACGTAATCGAGGGCGCGATTTTTAAATTAATTGTTGCCAACCGTGGACATATTCGGCACCGGCGCCGTGCTGACTAACTGGAATTTAAATATCGCGCTGGGGATTCAGGTGGAAGCTCTGCTGTAAAAAATGTCAGGTTGTCGCATTTATTTATTTCCTGGCATTGTCATTCGTTTTGGCACTTTAGTTTTGTATTACGAGTTTTTGGTTTAAATAAATAGTGTTGTGATACTTTAAAGCTTGAAAATGTTTACTAGCAGAGCTTGCAGTCGAACACACATCTTTTAGTGCGAAGTGGAAAAAGATAGCTTAATAGTCGTTGTAAAAAAAAACGCATTGCAACCTTATTAGAATATTTTGAACGGGAGAGCGGTAGTAATGTTCCTTTATGTCCTTTAAGTGCTGTTAAGAATGTGAGTTTTGTTGATGTAAATAATAACTGTTTATATATTTATAATTTTAATTTATTTTTGTTTCCTAAAATATTTTGATTAAAAGAAAACGTATAAAAGTGGGCAACGCTGTGCCGGTCAAGCTTAATCACGTGACTAAAAGTTTATTTGGTATGAAGTGTAGTAGATAATTATTGTTAACATTTACGATTTCTGGTTTTTACTGTATCAACTTAAAGGAAACTAATTAATATTTTACTAATAATTATCATTTATCCTTTAAAGCAAGGGATTCGTTATGAGTGAACTGTTACAAAGGCAGAAATTTGCCTTTTCCATATACACAAAATTGGTGAGAGCGTTTTTGTTCACGCTATTGCATTATTCCGAATGGCTGTGCTATACTTGCATCATCGCAAGACACGTTTACCGTTCAGATTTCATATCTCTACCGTTACTGATTATGGTATTTTGTTGGGGTTCGCTAACCATGCCGAAACCCTCGAAAACCTTCTGGATTGTTGTCATCGCCTATGTTCTGGTAAGTTAACCGATTAAAGTAAACTACACTTCTCTAGAGGATCAGCAATAGTGCGTAGAGCATCTGATGCTGTAGCTCCTAGAATAAAAAACTTGAGAAATTTGTTGAAAAAAAAAGAATTTTATTTCCCCGAATTTTGTAAAGAATTTTATTGCAAAAGTGCAAACTTAAAGTTTGTGAGAAGATATATTTCAGGAAAATATGTTAACTTCTATAGGGTGGCTGAATTTTTACATGGAACACCCTGTATATTATTGCATTGTTGGCTGCCTTTAAGATTACCTGACATAATCCTAAAATAAGAGTACATAATACAGGGTTTTTTTTAGAGAGGTAGGAAATAGTATATTACACACCGGAGGTGGAAAGTGTTTCATCACTGCCGAGAGATTTGATAGTTTACCGAGGCGCGAAGCGCCGAGATAAACTAAATCTCGAGACAGAAATGAAACTTTACACCGAGGTTTGTATACTATTTTATTTACAACCACATCAATAATTAAAAAAACAGGGACACTATTTTATTTTGAGAAAAAAAATATGCGAAAATTTTTCGTTTTCTGTTTTGGCATTTCCATATCTATAGTTACCGTGGTTGTTATGGCGCAAACCTTCAACAGCAATACAAACAACCAAGTGACAGTTTTGGATTTCTCGTTCGCTTTTTCGAATTTATATAAAGGTGGGTATCAAAGGTGGGTATTCACTTGCAACAAAACACTCCGAACGAACGAAACGCGCCGCGCGCGCTGTAACAAACTTGTGTAGTCAGTACGTTGCGCCGAACCGAACCGAACGCGCCAAACATTTTCCGAAGCTTGTCGGTGAACGGGATTTGCTCAAAAGAATTTGTTCGTTTGCCGGTGTTCAGTAGATACATAGATAAATGAAACAAGTTTAGATTGGAAAGTGCCCATAAGGACAATGTAAACACTATTTGGCGCTATTTTTGCAACGGTCGCGACCCAAAACTTTTGAAAATTTCGGAGCGGTTCGGCTTTTTCCGGAATTATATCGCCAAATATTGTTTATTCAAATTTATTATTATTTTCCTTTAATTTTATAAATAAAAGACAGTGTGTTGCATACAAGAAACTTTATTTTATATAAGGACGCATGTATGAAATACCTATGAAACATTGGAAACCGACGCATAGATAAATGAAACAAGTTTAGATTGGAAAGTGCCCATAAGGACAATGTAAACACTATTTGGCGCTTATCTTGCAACGGTCGCGACCCAAAACTTTTAAAAATTTCGGAGCGGTTCGGCTTTTTCCGGAATTATATCGCCAAATATTGTTTATTCAAATTTATTGTTATTTTCGTTTAATTTTATAAATAAAATACAATGTGTTGCATACAAAAAACTTTATTTTATATAAGGACGCATGTATGAAATACCTATGAAACATTGGAAACCGACGTTATGCTACGATCCACGATGGTTTTTGCAGTTCACAGTTCACAGCTCAGCTTTTTAAGTCTTTAATGCCACTTTTTCACAATTATCATCGGTTGGAGTAAATAAAACTTGAATTAAACTCACAAGATATTACTTTGAAAATGGACGCTATAAACACTTTTCGGAATTTCTTTAATGAGAGCGGTTTAGATTTTGAAAGATTATTATGATTTTTGAAGATTCTGACTTTGACAAGAGAAAATTATTTCTGTTTTTGTTCGCCGTTGTTCTTAGCGACCGCTATAGCAGCGCCAGATCGCGTATAACGGTCGCGACCCAAAATAATTTCGCGACCTAAAATTTTTACGGGCTTTCCAATCTAAACTTGTTGCATTTATCTATGAACCGACGTTATGCCACGATTCACTATGGTTTTTGCAGTTCACAGTTCACAGCACAGCTTTTTAAGTTTTTAATGCCACTTTTTCACAATTATCACCGGTTGGAGTAAATAAAACTTGAATTAAACTCACAAGATAGCAATTATTACTTTGTAAATGGACGCTATAAACACTTTTCGGAATTTCTTTAATGAGAGCGGTTTAGATTTTGAAAGATTATTATGATTTTTGAAGATTCTGACTTTGACAAGAGAAAATTATTTCTGTTTTTGTTTGCCGTTGTTCTTAGCGACCGCTATAGCAGCGCCAGATCGCGTATAACGGTCGCGACCCAAAATTTTACGGACTTTCCAATCTAAACTTGTTACATTTATCTATGAGTAGATACGGCAGTTTTGAACGTTCGTTGTGTTTGGGGTGTTTTTAAACTCTACCTAGCTATGGAGTGGAACAGAGAAAAGTGTTTAGAGTTAATTGATGAGTTGGAAAGGCGGCCTATTTTATTAAATTAATTAAATTCTTCTTATGCATATAATCTAGGTCACTAAGTAAGGCCATATTATATTGACGGCGCAAAAAGAGACGTCTTGCCCACATTTTTCGTCCTTTCCTTTTCTTCTCTTTTTTGTTACCCTCTAATGCCTCTATAATTAAAAAAGCACCAGCGGCTATGGTAATATCAGATGCATCCAGGTCGACAAACACACTAACACTGATTACTGGTGAGAACGCAGCGAACACCGCAAACAGGCGGAACGCTCCGCGCAAAATGTTTTATTGCAGGTCGTTCAGAGCGCTCTCGGAAAATGTTTTGTTGCAGATTGTTTGGAGTTTCGCGGCGCGTTTGGTTTGTTCCGAGTGTTTTGTTGCAAGTGAATACGCACCTTAACATAGAAAGCCAGAATGTTGTCGGAAAGTTCTGATAATGAAGACTACTTTTATATTGGTACCCCACCAGAAGTTACAGAAGCTGCAACCAACAAGGTGGTATCCATAAGTGTCAAAGCATATAATAATTCGAATGTAACAATTAATTTGAATAAATTGTTATTTGTTGTTTTAAACTTTTTATTTTAATACTTTTAATACAAAATGTACCTAATAGGACATTGTAACACCGATTGTAGTTTGTTTAAGAGAGTTTTCTATAAAAAAAAGTTGCAAATAAAGCAGCATTAAAATAAAAATTTTAAAAAAATGTTTTTGTCCTAATTTAAAAATCTGTATTTACTTCCCACCCACGCCACAGGAGGGAAGTAAACTTTCCACCCGTGCGTGGGTGGGAAATAAAAGTTATAAAACTGACATTTTCCAACCTTCAAAAAGTCGGAAATGTCAACATTACTTATATGGTTGTAAATAAATACATTTGCGTATCTCAGAGCCAGATGTTTGGCCTGGTACGTCGGACTATACAGGACTGTTATGTATGGAAACGGTCGATTATTAGGTAAAAGATACGAGGTACCGCAAAAAGTTAAATACAAAAGTTATAGGGTTGTTAAATATCTATTAGCGGGTAATAAATTTAAATATACAGTGTCGGTTATAAAGTCGTGGCAGATCAAAGTTACATTTTTTTTAAATAGAACACCCTGTATATTATTGCATAGTTCGGTTCTTCTTTCAATTCTAAGCAAAAACACAAAAGATACACACAATATACCTCAAACCAACCGTTATTGATTTTTGCACATATTTCGATATGGTCAGTTTCATTTAACGATGCCATTCTGCCGAAACTGCGATACTTAATAATATTTGACATTAGTTCTCAAGTTAGCATTTATAGATATATAAAATGAGATTATACCAAGTTTGGAAATTACGAAATTTTTGTTTAACATTTCAATTCTTCAATTTATGTACATTATGTATCATGATTATTGCTTAAAATTGAAGGAAGAATTGAAATATGCAATAATATACAGGGGGTTTCATTTAAAAAAAAAGTTTGATGTGCCACAACTTTATGACCAACCCTGTATACTTAAATACCTAATATAGTTTTGATTTCAAAACTGTTCCTGTATTTTTAATAATTTTTTTAAGAAAGGTTAGGTTAGGTTAGGTTAGTTATGAAAAATATATATATTTCATTTATTTATTAATATCTCTGAAACTGTCGAAATACGTTTAGGTACTCATATCTTAGGAGTTATAAAGTGAGCCACTTTCGAGACGCACCCGGTATAGGGTGTTCCATTTCAAAAAATACAACTTTGATGTGTAACATTTTTGGGGACACTCTATAAAACTCTATGTATTTTGAAAAAATGCTCTAAATTGACATACATGTGCTCAGAAAATTACAATTCAATAGAAATTGTGTTATATCACGAAATTTGCCTGGTAAAATACCTTAAACTTCTTACTTTAACTTTAAACAATGCACTGAACCAAATATGTAAATACATACAATATTTTGTATACAAAAGAGGGTGATAAACCTTACTAAATAATCCTTTTCAGATAACACTCCTGATTCAAAGTTTTTTCGTAATGGACATAGCCGACTGGAATTCTTTAAGATTTGAAAACAATATTTTTTATCCGCCGAATATAGTTGGACTCCAACGAAATTTGAGCACTTCGTTTGCCATAGCCATGTTGGCCTCCTTATTTTTCCATAGGTAATGATTTCCTATTCAATATTATAAATCGTACAAGTTAAGTTATTATTAATTATAAGATAATATTACATCATCATCATCATCAACCAGCCACTAAAGTCCACTGCTGGACGTAGGCCTCCCTCGTTTGCTTCCATAACTCCCTATCTTGAACTATTTGCATCCAGTTACTGTGGATACGCCTTAAGTCGTCATGCCATCTGCTTGGAGGACGGCCTCTGCTCCTGAATGCATCATGTCTTGGTCTCTATTCTATTTTCTTCGTCCATCGGTCATCGTTTAGCCTTGCGATGTACCCTGCCCAATTCCATTTCAAAGTAGTTATTTTCTCTATGGCGTCCATGACTTTTGTTCTGTCTCCCCCGTACTTCGATATTCGGTACTTTGTCTCTCAGAGATAGCCCCAACATTGACCTTTCCATTGCTCCTTGCGTTATTCTGATTTTGCTTACTGTTTCTTGGTTAATGTTACGGTCTCCACACCATACGTCCGACAGGTAGTACATATTGATTAAATACCTTTCTTTTCAAACATATCGGAAGTGCCCCTTTGAAAATGCATTTCAATCGTCCATAGGTGGCCCAAGTCGGTCCTGTTCGTCTGTTGAGCTCGCAAGTTTGATTATCGGGGCCTATATGTATTTCGTGATATTATACAGGTTTGTCCGAATTGTATGCCGGAAACTTCGGCAGCATATTCTGCAGATAAAAATAATTTAAAAAGTTCGTATAAATGTATGTCCTAAAATACTTAGTTTCGGAAATACAGGGTGTGGAACTTTCATTTTTATTTCGATTTTTTCCAAATAATTTATGGATGAAAATTGGTGCCTGGGAGTTTCTTGATATGAGAAATCTGATTTTGATGTCAATATAACTCCTACTTGTAGAGGGCACCACCTACATATTTTTTAACTGGTTTGAAGAGTAATAACTTTTCGTCCGTCCCTGTATGAAACTACTGAATAAAAAAATATACATTTACGAAGTTTTTCACTTAAAAAATGTGTCTCGGTAAAAATCGCTACGAGTAATGGTTCTCGAGATATTTGGAATCGAAATTATCAATACCTATCATCATTGACATAAATTAAACATGTTGACTAACTAGTTATTAGACTGAAATAATAAATTTGAAATGTTTTTGTGCCAAAAGTTCAACAGAAACTGTTTCATCATAATTTTTTCGCAGAAAAGTTTATGATTAATTTAAAAAAATAAAATATTATTTCAGTCAAGTAACTATCTACTCAGCGCGTTTATTTTTTGTCAATAATGACATGTATTGACTACTTTCATTCTAAATATCTTGAGAACGGTTGCTCGTAGCGATTTTTACCAAGAAAAATTTTTTACGTAAAAAGTCACGGAAATGTATATTCTTTCACTCCGTAGTTTATACAGGTACGGACGAAAACTTATTACTCTTGAAAACAGTTAAAACACGTGTAGGTCGCAATTCACTCATATTGACATCAAAATCAAGTTTATCATGTCGAAAAACTCCCAGATACCAATTTTCATCCAAACATTGACGTTACTTCATAAGTTATTTGGAAAAAATCGAAACTAAAATGAAACTTCTACACCCTGTATCTCCGAAACAAGGCATTTTAGGATATACATAATTAAATTTTTAATAACTTAATTAAAAGTTCGTATAAACGAACTTTTTTACTTATTTTTATCTGCAGGAAGTGCTGTCTAAGTGTCCGGAATACAGTTCGGACCACCCTGTATATTATACCTATACAGGGTGCTACAAATTCGAGGTACGAGCATTGGTATCTCGGAAACCGTAATAGATACGAAGATGGTTAAATTAAGGCAAAGTTGCACCTTCGGCTGTTCACCAAGATGCCATCAAAAAAATTTCAAAAATTTCAAGGATTGCTGAGTTTTTTGGAAAAAACGGGTTTTTTTTAAATAATTTTATTTTTTCCTGTCGTTACTTTTCTTGAAAAAACTAATTGCACATTCTCATAGCCACTTTATTAGGGCTATCTGAAAGTATTTTTAGATTTTCAAATTAGCTGATAATTTGTGAGATACAGAGGCCAACTTATTTTTTTTAAATACGGACCTGCATTTTATATTTTATTAATAGTACCCTCTTACTTGTTATTACCACTTATGGCGTTGTAAGATGTACATCAATAAATACTCTCTTAAATCCATCACAATCTGGCAGCGCTGTCGCCATCGCTTGTCACTCAAAGTTGATCACGTGCATCGGAAATTGTTTTGCGATTACCATATAAGAATAGTGTACTCCTTCCTCATAGTCTTTTCTATTCAATGATAATTTTAAAACAAAAGTTGTATGTCGAAATTGTCCATTCTCTTGCTGTTGCGTACTAAAACGCTGATTTTTGTTTGTGGTTTTATTAATAATATATTCAACAATATAAAACTAATTACGTAAATAAGTAATGTGAAATGATGCGCCCTGTCTGACAGTAGAGGCAGAATGTAATGGCCGCGGCTTCTTCGTCTTCGTCTTTCGGTGCCGGTCGCCGACGGTGGAGGGGTGCTGCACGCGTCACAAGGAAATGAAGCGACGTTGCCGTTGTGCGTTTTATTTCACCATAGCCGCCCGCCTTGAAACCTCTCAGGCTTCAACCTTCTCTGCTTGACAGTGTTCTGGTAGGACACAAATTTTCATGACTGGTCTTTGTATGGTTCCCCTTGACGTTTTAATAGATACGGCTCTAATAACGTTATCGGCTCCAGGGTGCACTCCTACCACTCTTTCAAGTTGCCACTTTAGAGGAGGATTATTATCTTCCTTGACAATTACAAGGATACCAGGCTTTATGACGTTGGGAAAGGATTGCTTCCACTTTGATCTGATCTGCAGCTCCGATATGTATTCCTTGGACCATCGATTCCAAAAGTGCTGAACCATCTGTTGACATTGCTGCAGCTTTGACAGTAAGTTTTCTTTGGCATTTGTCAAATCCGGTTCTGGTTGACTCATAAGTGTTTCTCCGATCAGAAAATGGGCCGGGGTAATAGGAAGCAAATCGTTGGGATCGGATGAAAGTGGTGAAAGGGGTCGGGAATTTAGACATGCTTCAACCTGACAAAGCACTGTAGAAAAATGTGGAGCACGTGGTGGTATGAAAGACCACATACAGATTCATTCGATAGCTTGGTTTTAATGTCGTTTTCTACCGTCTTATTCATTAGAAATTTATAAAGTTCTGATTTTGCACCTTGGAAATTGGTACCGGGATCAGAATATATTATTTGAGATTTCCCGCGTCTTGCAAAAAATCTACGTCAGGCTGATAAGAAAATTTCGGTAGACAAACTACTTACCAGTTCCAAATGGACAGCTTTAGTTGAAAATCAAATGAAAAGACAAATATAACATATAGTCAATTTAAAATTTCTAGTGTTGCGATCGCGCAATAAGAAGGGTCCGGCATAATCACAACCAGCTATTAAAAATGGTCTCGTGGGCATTAATCGAGTAGAAGGTAAATCACCCATTAAATATTTTGATTGCGTTGGATTAAACCTAAAACATTTCATACAATCGTGCACTATTCTTTTTGCGAGGCTACGTCCACTTAATGGCCAAAATTTTTCTCTTATGGATGCTAATAATAAATTAGGTGGTGCGTGTAATAATCCAAAATGTTCATAATTCATAAGCAAAATGGTAAAATTATCTTTAGATGGTAAAACAGCTGGATGTTTTTTCTCAAGATTAAAATTTGAATGCTTAATACGTCCACCAACTCTTATTATTCCATCATCTAAGAAAGGATTTAAAGAAGACAGCTTACTCTTGACATTAACCCTTCCAGAGCGTTTAAGGTCATCTATTTCCTGTGAAAATTCTTGTAGTTGTACCAAAAGTACAATACGTTTTAATGCAAAATTTAATTCCTTCACAGATAAAGGACCGGTAAGACGTTCGTTTTTTCTATCTCGATTAAACTTACAATTATGTATAAAACGCAAACAATATGCTGATACCCTTTTCAGTTTCGTAAGGGATGAAAATTTATTAATTAAATCGCAATTAAAATTTACTTTAGTAACGATAAAAGTTTTTAATTTAACCCTTTCTTCCGGTATATTGTCAATTTTATGGCTATATGCAGGCCAATCACATGTATTTAACCTTAACCATGATGGACCATTCCACCATAAATGAGTATTAATCAGGATTTTTTCATTTAAACCCCTCGAAATAAGATCTGCAGGATTATCAGACGTATGTACATAATGCCATTCATTTGGGTTTGACAGCTCTTGAATTCTTGCTACCTTGTTTGCGACAAATGTCTTCCATTTGTGCGCTGAAGCTGAAATCCAAGACAAAACAATTTTAGAATCGCACCAATAGTGTACACTCTGAATATCCATATTAAGAGCTTGAAATACCCTTTGTGTTAGTTCTGCGAGTAGAACAGCTGCGCATAATTCTAATTTGGGTATAGAAATAATTTTCACAGGCGCTACCCTACTCTTAGAGCATAGTAGATTAACGAGAACTTTATCATCAACATCGACTGTTCTTAAATATACGCATGCACCGCACCTTGTATGAAGCTCTAGAGGAACAGATTCCTCCCAGTGCAGGTTCGCTTGCCATAGTCTTTGTAACATAACCTTCGGTATAATAATTACTAGGCTTAATAGTCCTAGAGGGTCAAACAATTGAGCAGTCATGGACAATATTGTACGTTTCGTAACAGTTATTTCTTCATCAAAGTTACCGATTTCAAAGCTTAGTTGATCTTCGGCAGGAATCCATTTCAAACCAAGAGTTTTTGAGTTTTCATGCTCACCTAGAGTACAATCCTTTAGTTTATTAATTTGTTGAAATACACGCTCGTCATTTGATACCCATTTTCTAAGCTCAAATCCAGCTTTCTGCAGAATCGCATTTATGTCGTTTTTTACTCTTATAATATCAGAAATGTTTGTTCCACCGTAAAGCAGGTCATCAACATAAAAACATTTTAGTATAGCTTCACTAGCTTCAGGATGAGATTCCTTATGTTCGTAAGCTAATTGGTTTAAGCATCGAATGGCTAGGAATGCTGCTGCTGATGTGCCATATGTTACGGTGTTCAACTGATAAGTATCTAATTGGTCTGATGGTTTATTACGCCAAAATATCTTTTGAAGTTTTCTGTCAGATTCTGAAACAAGTACCTGCCGATACATTTTTGCTATATCAGCTTTTATTACTATATCAAAGATTCTGAAACGCAAAAGAATAGCAAAAATATCTTCTTGGATCGTTGGACCTACCATCATAATATCGTTCAAAGATAATCCGGTATTTGTCTTACAACTACCATCGAATACAATTCTTAGTCGAGTAGTCGTACTGGACTCCTTGAAAACACAATGGTGAGGCAAAAAATATTCACCAGGTTCAGGCATGTCAACAATTTTAGTCATATGATTCAAGTTTATGTATTCGTCTATGAAAGCCTTATACTCAATAAATAAGTTTTGGTCACGTTGAAATCTTTTTTCAATATTATAGAAGCGCTTGACAGCATTTGCTCTATTATCTCCAATTCTATCAGAAGAATTCGTTAATGGCAAACTAACTATAAAACGTCCGTCTCAGTTTCTCTTTGTATTTTGGGCAAAATGTTTTTCACAAGCTCTTTCTTTGTTAGATAAAATAATTTGAGTACCTGGACAATGTTCAATTTCCCAGAATTTCTTAAGAGAATCATTTAAATCATTAGATAAATGAGAAAAGTTACATGATGAAATATTTGACATAGAACTAGATATAGTGCCCGATACTAACCAGCCCAAATGAGTTTTTTGAAGTGTTGGGTAATTTTTGCCTAATTTAATTTGTCCTACACAAACAAGATCCCAGAAAATTTGAGCACCTGCAATGTAGGATCAGCAAGTGCACATTTTTTAGGAATTTGAAGTTCTTCGATATCGAAATAAGTTTGTGGAATTTTATTAGCAATGTTTTTAATAACAAGACATGGAAGTTTTACTTTAAAATTATTTAAACGTGATTGCATATTTACGGAAACTCTATGAATAATTTGAGAAGCAGACTGGCCTATCCCGTTTATAGTGATATCTGTAAGAGTTCTAGGCAAATTTAATGTGTTGCACAATTTTTCTGTTATGAAGTTGGATTCTGAACCGCTATCTAACAAAGCTCTGCATTCATGGACTTTACCATGATTATCTGTGACTTGAACTATAGCAGTCGAAAGTAAAATACTATTTGAATCTTTATAACTATGAAAAGCGTGACTTTCATTACCCTGAGGAGGATTTGTGACAGATGATCTATTTTGCTGAAAATTTGCAAAATGCAATAAACTATGATGTCGTCTATGACATTTAGGACAAGGTTGACACTTGCAATCTTTTGACAGATGACCCTTACGAAGACAATTAAGACAAAGTTTCAATCGGATTGCTTCGGATAATCTACCATTACCATCAAGTTTAATAAAATCTTTACAGTTATAAATAAGATGTTCGTTTTGACACAAGGAACATTTTAAAGCAGTTACACTGTTATATGTATTCTTTTTTCTCCGCGTATCGACTTAGAAGAACTTTGACTTATTGCTTCTAGTACACGACATTTTTCTTGTAAGAATTCTTTGAACACGCGAAAAGTAGGCAAAACATTAGAACTATTTTGAGCTTCCCAAGCTCTTCTAGAAACACCATCTAATTTTGAAATTAAAATATGAATCAACAAAGTATCCCAAGAGTTCACAGGCTGGCCTAAAACTTCGAGCGCCCTAGTATGTTGTGTGACACCATCTAATAATTGTCTAAGCCCTACGTGAGATTCCTCATTTAGATTAGGTAAATTAAAAATAGCACGTACATGATTTCCGACAAGTAAGGGTATGTTTTCATAACGCGCATTTAATAGAGACCAAGCTGTGTCATAATTATTTGCCGAAACGCCTAACGATTGCACTACTTGTGCAGCTTCGCCCTTAAGTAAAAGTCTTAAGTAGTGAAATTTCTGAATTATATCTAAACTTACATTTTCGTGTATTAGAGATTTAAAACTATCTCGAAAAAATAACCATTCACTATAATCTCCATTGAAAGTAGGTAAGTTTAACTGAGGAAGTCTTACTTGCTGTAAATTATCAAATACTTTATTATCAACCGTACGTATATCATTATTATCGATCGAATGTTCATGATTTTGTTCAGTTATTCTATATTGATTTGAAATATCACTAGCTAAACTTATCGCTGAATAAAAGTTACTCTCAAAAGAATCCCGTTCGTTAATATCCTCTAAAACATCGCTCGACTCGTTTTCTGTTGATAAAATTTCAATTTTTAATTGTATATCTTCAAATTTCTTTAAATGATCTTGAATTTGAGACAATCTAACGTCTAATTCTGACAGCGCAATTTGTTCTGACGAATTTTGTTTCTCTAAAAAGTGTTTAAACCGTGTTAAACTAGATTTAAGCTGCCTTCTTTCGGCTAATAATGCCTTTAGTTCGGCCATGACAGTTATATTCTTAATATAAATATGAAATATGACAATGAAATTAAAGAACGATAGTATAACAATTCTCTACAATACCCTGACAGGAATTGACATGAAAATGATAAGGAATATTATGGAAAATAGGAAAAAAACCCACCTGATCTTGTCTTCTTTCAGCCAAATATTCGTCAATTGCTCTTGAAATCCCATTCAATCGGGCTCGAAGGACCATATGTTGCGTACTAAAACGCTGATTTTTGTGTGTGGTTTTATTAATAATATATTTAACAATATACAACTAATTACGTAAATAAGTAAAATGAAATGATGCTGACATTAGAGGCGAGAGTAGCGAGAGTAGTCTGACAGTAGAGGCGAATGTAATGGCCGCGGCTTCTTCGTCTTCGTCTTTCGGTGCCGGTCGCCGACGGTGGAGGGGTGCTGCACGCGTCACAAGGAAATGAAGCGACGTTGCCGTTGTGCGTTTTATTTCACCACGTTGCGTTAATTGAAAAAGAAAATATTTCCATTTTGGAGGTGCAGGACATTCTTGCATCAGTCCTCACAGCACTACAAGGCTCTCCGAGCAATTTATACCATTAAAAGTAAGAGGTCAGTTAAATGTGTTAAGGGAAAATGGATTACAAAAAAAGTTAATGATTTTAAGGAGCAAGTATGGTAATTGTATACCAAACGTATAGACAATTTAGAAAAATGGGCTCTCAATTGGCAGAATTTAATTCATTTCAATGGATGCTTTTAAATGATGCAAACTTTAAATTTAATGATATTCTGCCCTGTATTGAATTTTTATCCAAAAAAGGGGTAGAAATTAATGACAAAAAACTAATTGATGAAATCATTTTATTAAAAGACAGTTTGACAACAAAGATTCAAAATGAGGAATGTTTATCATTATCTTTAGATAAAAAGTGATCTTACTATTTTAAGCAATTAAAACACATTGATTTATCATCAGAATTGCTTAAAATTTGTGAATTCTACTTTGCTATTCCGGCACATAATGCTGCCGTCGAGCGAATTTTTTCTTTAATCGCAGCGCAGTGGACCAAAGAAAGAAACCGTTTATCTATCGAATCAATAAAAAGCCTCATAATGTTAAAATTTAATTTAAAAATGTCTTGTGAGGAATATTATAATTATTTGATGGACAATCCCAATATTTTAAAAGAAATTGGTTCTTCTGAAAAGTATCAGTAATTTTTACCTAAGTAGAAATTGTTACATTTTTTTATATAAATATATTTGTTAGATGTCAGGGTTTTTCTTTATTAAAAATCAGGCTTTTTGTCCTGGTCGTCCTACTTTTCTGCAAATAAATCTGGTCACCCTAAGTAACGTTCCTGCTTTGTAATCAATGTAATCTTATAAATATGACTCAAACAGTACATTAGTTTGAGTCCAATGTAGATCTTAGAGCTGTTAACTTCGGTTTTTATTAAATAAAACATTTTTTAAAAACAACTTGTCTCGAGTTTCTCATTTAACTCGCAAAATCTAAAATAAAATAATATGTTACATTTAAATTTTTATTTTTATTGTTATTTTTTAAGTACTTACGACGCCACTGGATAAACAACTGGTTTATTATCTATAACCAATTATCAATTAATAATCGATTTAAGTTTTCAGGTAGTTTCCATAATAATTAAGATACGATACAAAAAAAACTAAGTATTTTCAATTTATTTTGTTTACTTTAAAAAATTGTTTTTTAAGTTTGCTAATACAAATGAATAAAATGAGTTACGAAGTAATTTAAAAACTCAGTTTTCAATGGATTCTGTGATATGATTTTTATTAGTTTTATTGAGGAATATTTAAAACAATCCAAATAGTCAGATTTTTAAAACACTAATAACTTTGAAAAATATGCTCTAAACAAAGATTTATAAAACTATAACGGACTAAAAGTCAACATCTTCGACCAAACCACCATAATTTCTAATGCATTTTTCATAAATTTTCCTATTTCTTAAGCAAACTTTCCGTAATTCTTGTCTAGAAATTTGTTTACATTCTTATCCTATTCGAGTGTTCAATTCTTCTAATGTACGTGGATGGCTTTTATAAACTTTATTTTTGATAGCACCTAGGGGGCCATGCTACAAAAGGACTATTGCGACCAATCCATTTATCTTGAAAATTTTCAATAAGCCATCTTCTTACAGGTGCAGCATTATGGATCGGAGCGCCGCGCCGTCTAGCTGAATATACAAATTCTCTCTATAAGTTAACGGCAAATCATGAACAGAACCCCAAAATTAATTTTGCAAGAAAGTCAAAAATCTCGCACCGTTTAAAGTCGCATTTAAAAAGAAGAGTCCAATAATACGGTCTTTTAAATAGTTTTAAAATACCACACCACGCATTTACTTTCTCAGAATATTGATTTTTGCAATTAATTACCCATTGATTACTCCAATATCTAATATTCTGAGATGATACTGTCCCGTTGGTAGTAAATGTCGCCTCATCAGTAAATAATATTTTGCCAAATAGACTGTGGTCTTCATAAAATTTAGCATGCATGGTTTGGTTTGGTTTGTAATGGTGCGCATCGGGTAATTGTGCGCATCCAAGTATTTTATGGTGGGTTCATACTTCCGAGTATTAGCCCTAACCTTACCCTTAACATTAAGCCTAAGGAATTAACATTAAAACGTTAAGGAAATGCCGTTCATGCTCTTATCTTTGCCACAAGAATTATTTGCTTGCGCATGCGCTCATGTGTTCTGTTTTTGCTTTTTTGTAGTTAACCTCTCTGTTTTGAGTGTTTTGTAATGTTGTATATTATCAATATTTTATGATATCTTTCCTGAAATCTAAAAGCGAACAATTTATTCTAATATATTTGATTCTCCCTGAGTTCTTTAATTTGTTAAAAATGAACACTGCAGCACTTTTGGCTTTTGCTAATTTTATACATATGGGTGCAATGATGCTGCTGAAAAAGAAAAACAATCGAAGATTTGCTGTTCGGCAAATTAACAGGTAGAGGAATAGTGAGGGACATTTTGTCACTCTAGTGAATGACATGAAGTTCTTAGAACATGACACGCAGCAATTTTTTAAATATACAAGAATGTCGCCAACACAATTTGACGATATATTAAGAATTGTTGGCCCATTACTCCAAAAACAGAATACAACTTCAAGTCCAATAACACCCAGTCATCGATTAGTGATGACCCTTCAGTAAGTTATATATACAATACGTAATAATAACGTATAGAGATAATTATTACTTTTTTAGCTTTTTGTCTGAGGAATAAGTTAACTAAGTTCTGTGGAATGTCCTTGTACAAAAAGTTCTTCGTGTTCCAACAAATGAAGAACGGAAAACAATTACATTAAATTTTTTCAACAAGTAGCAAATGCCTAACTGTATTGGTGCTGTGGACGGATAGCACATAAATATCCAAGCACCTAGTCATTCAGGATCGGATTTTTTTTAATTACAAGAAAAGTTCTTCTTTGGTCTTAATGGCAGTTTGTGATGCATATTACAAATTTACACTGGTAGATATAGGTGCTGCAGGGTCAAACCAAGACAGTACCACTTTTAAAGAAAGTGGATTTGGAAGTGCACTGTTAAATGAATAGTTAGATTTGCCAGAACCACAAGTGTTACCCAAAACAAATCAGAGTATGGAGCATTTTGTTGTAGCAGATCAAGCATTTCCTTTACATAAAAGAATTATGAGGCCCTACCCAGGATCAAATTTGCCTCTAGACAAAAAAATGTTTAATTACAGATTGTCTAGAGCTCGCAGAACAATTGAAAGTACTTTTGGTATATTGGTTCGAAGGTGGCGTATATTACGGAAACCAATAATTGCCAATATTACTAATTGTGAAAAATTTGTGAAAGCCACCATTGTTATTACCACACAATTATTTACAAAATATTGAACAATCCATTCCAGTTAATAAACGGAAATATTACCCTGGAAGATTTACAGATTCAATTTTAACAAATGGCGATATATCCTGTGGGACTGCCAGGTGTAATTTACCAAGCGTGAAACGTTTAGGCTCAAATTATGCCCCTCGGTCCTTCAACCCCTAGATCTAACATATATATATATATATAGAAAATCTGGGATTTAGTGGGGTTGCAGTCGGAAGGGTTTGACAAAGAATTAATACACTTTGTTAATTGTCAAGCTTTCGGAATTTATATAGTCCACTAAAAAATGCACTATTTACGGAATATAATCTTTACTTGTCTGAATACGATATAGCAGAACTTTTAAACAAAGCCTTCATGAAAGTGGCTACAATGGAAAAAGCAGTTTCAGGGTTTCGGACATCTGGGATATTTCCATTGAATCCAGACAAATTTACAGACGCCGATTTTGAACCTAGTCACCATGTAGGGGGAACTTACAGTAGAAGCAATACCTGATAATGAACCTTCATCTAGCCAAGATGTTGTAACCTCTCCAGTAAATAATCACCCAGATTTACAATGTCAAAGAGATCTCAGCCCTCAGCCATCTACATCTAAAGATAATTCTTTTTTTGCTATGGCTCCAATACCAAAAACCAAAGTTAATCTTACAACAAAAAGAAAACCTAGAAACAAACAGAAATCGGAAATTCTTACAAGCACTTCCATTAAAACGAAACTAGAAGAAGCTGAAACAAAGAAAGAACAACGAGAAAAAGCAAATAAGATCAAAGAGGAAGATAAGAAAGTCAAGAAATATAAAGATAAGGGTAAAGGAGTTGTTCGCAAATGTTTCGACACTGAATCATCAACTCCGTCGTCTTCGAAGAAATTCAAAGGCAAACAAAAGAGACCCCACAACTCCCGAATCATCTGAGTCATCAGAAGATGATGTGTCCGATATTTACGATGACGATGAGCTGGGTGACATCGAGGAAGATGTAAAGCTGAGCTTCGTGCCCCCGCCTTTAAATTAGCCATAGCTCCCGCCATAGATTCCATAGGCTCTATAGGCAACTAGGGGGGGGAGGGGGCAACAACC